GCGATGGCCCCTTCTGGTACCACCGGACCCTGTAAGAGCCAGCAAGGGGAACAGTGGGAGCCCCGCAGCCATCGCACAGCATCATCCTGCAAGAGGCTCTGCCGCTGGCGCCGACACTTACTGTTTTGTTCCAGATCAGCCCCGTGGTGTGGTACTCTTTGATATAGGCCTGCAGGTCTGTCCAGATGTTCAGATAAGCTTTCACCCAGTCCACGTGCTTTTTATCTCTAAGGACACAAGGAGATCGTGAGCGGAGAGGTACATTTGCCATCACAATCCACAGCCTGTGAACGGACCCTCGTGTCTCTGCCCCTCTCGGCCTGCAGACCCCGCTGGACAGGCACAGCAGCCTCGCACCTCCAGCACTAAGTTTCAACTTCCAACAGTCATCTCATACCTGCAGGTGGAAGGCCCCACGCTTCCTCTGTACCCCCCAGTTAATTGAGGGGCCTGGTAATTCTAACAAGACCCTGAATTCTAACAAGATTCCTGAAAGGCATCCTGCTGCCTTGGGAAGCAGTTCAGGCTGCCACCACAGGGTGCTGAGACAAGAAGGGCCATACACTCCCCTCTAGGGATTCAAGCTGCCAGATGAATACAAGTAATGAGGAAAAAAAAAAACCACTGAGCAAGGCTTTATAAATATACTGCACCTTGAAAAAGAAGAATGAAGCTAAGATCAAGGCAGTTGTGGTCTAGTAGCCCCTGTACACCCAGTCAGATGGGTTCAATGATGTCTAAGAGTGAACTTACACATCCTTGTACTCCTTAAGGACCCGGTTGGTATAAAACATGGCAGCATCAGTCATCTCCTTCACATAAGGGACAGGCTTTGGAGCCTAAAGAAAAAATAAACACATTGGCACCGAGCAGCTGAGGCACCAGAGAGCCTGCCCTTCCCTGGCAGCCCAAGGAAACCATTTGCCACTGCAGTTCTTACCATGGCCACCCAGCCCAGGGCTGGGACACTCTCACTGACAGCTGATAAGTGATTGAACAATTTGCTACCACGGTTCTTCTCCCTGAAATTCTGCACCATCTGGATTTGCTCTGAAATTGGCTTCAGAAGCGTTGAGAACGTACTCTGCAAAACAACAAGGGCAGCAGCAGTTAGGAATCCCGGTACTGCTCTGGAACAGCAGCCCATCTATCTTCACGAGCGGTTCTGCCCAGAACCACGGTCATTTGCAGAAAGGTTCCAGCTGGCCCGGGGTTCTGCCCAGCTCCCACCCAGGGCTGACCCTCCCCACGAGGGAGCTCGGTCCCACAGCCCAGCTTCTCCGGAGCTGAAGTCACCGTCCAGCCCCACTGGCACTGCGGGAGTTCGCCAAGAACTGTGACTCACGTACGAGCCAAGAGACACTGACAAAGCTGGTTAGTAATGAGGACAGAAATAGCATTTGCCTTTTCTGGATTCTTTAGTTCTAAGACAGTTTTTCAACTTTTTCCTCTCCTTTATAAACGCTTACAAAAAGGGAGCGCTATGTAGGATTTTGCAGTTGAGGATCCACAGCTGGCATTACAATTCAAGCCCCAGAAAGTCTGCAATTCGCTCCATCAAAACTGAGATGAGGCCTGGACCTCAGGGTTTAAGACACTCCTCAATTCAATCCAAGTTTCTAATATTTGGATGATTTAAAAAAGTGTCTCCTGTGTGTTGTCAGCTTGGAAATCTGAATGCAAGCGCATAGAAGCCTTCTGGCTCAAAGTAGCCAAATACAAGTTTCAAGAGATACCTCTGGGGCCACTTTAAGGTCAGAAAGCCTCTCTCCTGGTGATTGCAGCACTGAGAGACAAATTTAGGCAAAAACCTGTTTTTCAGGACCTGCCTTGTCTTTTCCTTTTGCTGTCTCCTCCTCTGCTTGGGGGCAAGCGTGGGGAGCTAGGATGACTATCCGGGCTGTGCTTTAAGAAGCTCCATTCCCAGGTAGCCACATGGGGAAATCCCTCCCCATCCTCCGTGTCCCCAACAAGCACAACAGTAGGAGCTCACGCGTTCAGCGTCCTAACCTAGCTACTCCAGAGCCGACTGGACTCCTGCTAGGCAGCCTGCACAAGGACCCATGCTGGATTAAGGTTGTTGTCTGCTCATAATCCTTTATTTAAATAACGTGTCAGTGGAATTTATAAGCAGATTCTGAGGCTGGAGGCTGTGCAGAGCAGCATCCTAGCAAGCTTGGTGAAAGATAAACAACCTTCCGGTGCTGACTTTGAGGGGAGGGTGAAAAGAGGATGCAGACATATTTTGCAGTTAAAATGAAAGTAGCACCAAAATGCAGCTCCACAGCGTAACACAAGAAGCCACAACTGAGTCAGAGAATAACTGCAAAGAAAAGTAGGGTGGAACCCTGTTGCTCAGGAAAATCGCCTCTCAGCAGGGAAACACCAGTGCACTCAGGATCAGATTCTCAGATCACTCACATCCCGCTGAGAAGCGGCAAGCTAAGGTAAAGTGTTAAATTACTAAGGACAAATCAATCTTAAAAGCCTAGCTATTATTCAGACACCATTCAAAGGAGACAAATGTCTATTTTATCACAGAAGGAATCTGTTAATTGCTTGAAGATGTTCGGTATCACACAATGAAAAGCTCTGCGCCAGTGGCACTGTGGCTGCTGCCTCGGGCAGGGCCCTGTCCCTTGTCACTGCACCTTAGGGTGCTGCGGTTGTGCAGCGCTGGTGCCAGCGCGCCAGACACACGAGCTGGGACACGATGCCCACAGGCTGCTCCGACAGCGACAGAAAATGTGCTGCTCTGATTCCTGGAAAATGATGGTTCTGCAGCTCTAGAATCAGCTCCTGGAATTCTGCCGGGATTTGGATGAGCACCCAGCACAGGTCACACTTCCAGCAAGTGCCGCCTCACGCTGGAAGTGTCTCCAGTCCTGGTCTGGCTCCTCCTATGAAGCAGCTGTACTGCAGCATGTATCCCAGACGCTGAGTACCAGCATCCAAGGTTTCTGATGACTGATTTTGCAGGCTTACCTCTGCTGGCTGCTGATGTTGGGACGCTAGCACCAAGAAAGACCTCACACTCATCAAGCCTGCATGAACCATCTCGGCCTGCGGATAGAGACACATGTGAGAGCTCCCCTTGCTTCACCGTAGGCAGGACAATTATGCTAAGCGTGTCATTTAAACTCCCACTGCCCCCAGTTCTTAGTCTGTAAGAAAGCAGTTATGCTGATCCTAAATGCTGGGGAATACACCATTATATATTAGCTGCCCGGCTGTCCAAAGGGCTGCTATGACTAACCCCAGGCAGCCCTCTGACCTCCGCTTTGGTTATGGTTGTCAAGGTGTGCCTGCCCACACGTTTAATCTGTTTCTTGCTCTGATAGCAGCATTTGCTCTTGGAGACAGCTCTGCTCGGGGACACCCAACAGGAACTTACCAGCTCTGCACCAGGGATACTCTACATGACCATTAAAGGCCATGTGCCAAAGTCCAGAGAGACTGGCGTCTATGTGCCACAGGCTTCACAGAGGTTAGATGCAAAGCATATGTGGGTGGCAATCTGCTGGATGTTATTGGCATGTCTTGAATCCTAGGGGATTATTAACCTCCAAGAAAAAAAGTGCTGAAGAAATACAGTGACAACACACATGGCCTTTGCATCGCCTGAAGGACAAGCAGTAACGATTTGGAGCAGAGGGAAAAGAAAGCGAATCCTTACGTGCGTCTGCACTTCCCCGCCAAGCTCTCTGCTGATCCTGACGTACTCAGCTGCAGGGCCGGCTAGGAGGGCATCGAAGGCCTGCACGTACTCTGCCGCTGCGAGGGGAGAGCGGCACGGCAGTGAGCGCCGCGCAGCCGGAGCGGCGGCACCCGCGTCCACGTGGCACCC